GAAAGAAAGGATTCAAGATTCGAGATTTTTATTTGCCGTATACAACACATGTATTGGAATGCTTACTCGTTTCAGCTGTACCCAGTAACAGTAGGAGAAAAAACAGGCACAAATGACAAACAGACATGGACAATACATTTAGACAATAGACATTATAATAGAGCCAAGACAGGGCATAGTGCAAACAGTGCAGTACCTTAAAGTGCAGGTGCTAATTTGAGCTGTTTAAGATGCGGACTGCCTGGGGGAAGAAATTGTTTTTGAATCTATTGGTCAGTGTTGTGATACTGCAATTCCTCCTACCAGAACCCAGAGGTGAAAACAGGTTGTGGCCAGGGTGAACTGGGTCCTGAAGTATAGCTCGAGCCCAGCTGTGGCAGCGCTCGAGATATATCCGGTCGATGGAGGGTAGCTCGGTCTGCGCGGACCCCTCTGTATGACTTTTCTGTCCTGTACTGTGGCTCCACCATACCACACCGTAATACCACCGGTCAGGACACTCAATGGTATTACGGTACAAATTGGTGTGTTGTCTTGCTCATCCCCCACTTCCTTAACTGTCTCAGGAAGTGAAGTGAAGGTGCTGGTGGGCTTCAGTGAGGATGGCAGCAGTGGTCTCTGACCAGCTCAGCCTCTCAGTGATCTGGAGGCCGAGGAACCTGAAGGTGGTGACAGTTTCGACTGGAGCCCCCTGAATGATTATGGGGGTGTTTCTTCCTCCGTGCCTCCTGGAGTCCACTATAATCTCTTTTGTTCTGCCGATGTTAAGTGTGAGGTTGTTGTTGTGGCACCACTCCACCAGTTCTGCTACTTCACTCCTGTAGGCGGTTTCATCAATGTTGCTGATAAGACCGATTACTGCGGTGTCATCAGCAGACTTGATGATGCGGTGGCTGTTAAATCTGGCCACACAGTCATGTGTAAATAGAGAATACAGCTGTGGGCTCAGGCAGCACCCCTGGGGGCCCCTGTGTGGAGGATCTGAGAGGATGAGGTTTTGTTCCCAATCCTCACCACTTGGGGCCTGTCTGTCAGGAAGTCCAGGACCCAGCTGCAGATGGAGTTGCTGAGGCCCAGACCCCCGAGTCTGACCAGCAGCCTGCCTGGCACAATGGTGTCAAAGGCTGAGCTGAAGTCAATAAATAACATCCTGGCACAAGTGTTCCTCTTGTCCAGGGGCTCAAGAGTGGTGTGATAGGGCCAGTGAGACAGCATCGTCCACTGACCTATTCTTCCTATAAGCAAACTCAGGGGGTCCAGGGAGTCCGGGACAATACTGTTGATGTGTCCCCTCAGCAGTTTCTCCATGCACTTCATGACTGCTGAGGTGAGTGCCACTGGGCGGTAGTCATTCAGACATGACACCCTGGTTGCTTTAGGCAGTGGCACAATAGTAGTCCTCTTGAAGCACACTGGGACAGTGGGACAGTAGACAGGGATAGCAACATGTTAAATATTACAGTGAAGACAGGGGCCAGCTGCGCTCTGCATGCCTGTAAAACACAGGAGGGGATGCCATCAGGGCCAGCCGCCTTGCGTGGCTTCACCTGTCGGAAAGCTCTCC